TGCTTAGTGTTCAACACTTTAACAGTTGGTCCTTTCCTCTTTTGATTACATCTGACGGACCAACTATACCGCATGCTTAGTGTTCAACACTTTAACAGTTGGTCCTTTCCTCTTTTGATTACATCTGACGGACCAACTATACTGCATGCTTAGTGTTCAACACTTTAACAGTTGGTTCTTTCCTCTTTTGATTACATCTGACGGACCAACTATACTGCATGCTTAGTGTTCAACACTTTAACAGTGGTCCTTTCCTCTTTTGATTACATCTGACGGACCAGCTATACCGCATGCTTAGTGTTCAACACTTTAACAGTTGGTCCTTTTCTCTTTGTATTACATCTGACAGACCAAGTGGGATACTCTATGATGGACAGTTCTTTATGCCATTTGGGACTGAATTGCCTTAATGTTCGTCTTCTGCCTTGCTTCGTCGGGTCCTTGTAGGTGATTTTTTGTTACTCTGTCTTCCTTTAAAATATTGATTACTTTTGTTATGGTCATATGGGTATTCCTTTATATTTATCTACATGATCATTTCGCTGTTTTACTTTTTTTTACCTTTTGAAACCATAACAACTGTTATAAATTTACTTGGCGGGGATTCATTTAATTTACACCGTCTCGTTTATAGGAACATGGTGGGCTAAGAGTGAGGTTTGGTGCACCATTAACCGGTTTAAACTCCACAGTAGTACTTATGCTGCTGACCAGTCCAAGGCGGCGTCCCTCTTTATTCCTCAGATGCACGTCTTTGTTATTTCATACTGCTTTGGTGACACTTTTGCCGGTGTCCCTTGTTGTTTTCTCGTCTACGGTAAGTATTTTCCCTTTTGCCCCTAGTTTTATTTATTTAATAAATCAATCATTTATTTGTTTTCTTTGATTTCCTTGTCGTTTACCATTATTTCGTCTTATGTATCATTTAAGTGATAAGCCTATCCGTGCTCTACTTTGCGTCCTGTCCGTTTTTCTGGGGAGGGGGGTCCTTTCGTGTTACTTGGTTCTTATTGCTGGGTCGTGTGGGTGTTGCGTTCATTGAACGCTGCCTTTCCTTGTTGCTCTTGTTTATCATATTTGATAAAACTTTATCATACCACCAAAGGTGGACCTGTGGGCCTCATCATATTTTCTCAGGTGTCTTAAAAGTAGCAATGCTGCTGTCTTCTTTTTCTCGGTTGACTCATCACCAAAGCATGTAATTCTGCAGGAAATAAACTGAAAATAATTGTAAATTAATTGCAAATAATGGAAGCTTTTGATGTCTCTGTAGAGATGTGCAAGAGTGACAGATGAGGAAGATAGTTTAGCCGTTTATATGTCCACCATGATAAACATGCAATGCTTGAGCCATTAAAAATTGCTTTATTCGGCCTCATCGTGGTCCCATCTCGATGACATTGTACCAAAATACGATGGTGACACGACGGTCTTGCGGGGGCTTCACGTAGTCGTGTTCCCTTTTTAAGACTATCGGGAATCTTCGTGTTTACTTCGTATTGTCTTCTTGAGGCTAAAATGCCAGATTGCACCGATGATCACACGAAGAAAAGACGAAGACTACACGATTTGACAAGATGGCTTCACGACGGCCTTACGATGGGCAAAATTGACATACGAATTCAACACGAAAATGAACCTTCGCAATGTCTTCGGGTAATTTTTTGGCATGCCAAAGATTTTGGAACCGCTCACGAAGTTGCTGCCGGAGCTTGAAATATTTAGCCGGGGATCATACGATGGCAAAAGATGCCCTCACGAATGGCACGATGTTATTACGATCAGATCCGAATTTGAAACATTATTTCATCTATATTCGGCAGTTCCCGTTGCATGACCTTTATGCTTTTAGTCAATTACCCCACAATTCGGGTTGAACAGATTGTGATGTTGACCCGCGCTTGCAATTACCAAGGAAACTATTATGCCACTAAAGTGACTAATGAATTTGCCTTATACAAATTGGTATATAGAACATTTTAATGTTTTTCTTGGATAGTTCAATATATTATGGTATTTAAAAAAAGTAACAAATAACTGCATCCATGCATTTATTATGAATAAAACGTTTGGCAAAGATCTTGTTATATTTCTCGTTGACTTCAAGGAAGATGTTTCAGACAAAATATCATTTTAGTTTACAAATTCAAAGATAGTTAAAATTGAAGTGGCGGAACATATAAATAGTAAAATTATATCAATAACACAGTAAGATTTACAAATGTTTAATAACACAGTAAGATTTACAAATGTTTTTAGGGTTTAATGTGCGAAATCACTTATTTATAATGCATTTGTGAATAATTTGTTAAATTGAATGAGAAAATTGTCGTTGCGTAACTTTGTAATATGATATATGTTTACTTGTACATTAGATATGTTTCGTGATAAAACGCAATATTATTCACTTCAATACACCAGACGGTGAGACCTCGGTTTTGAATTAAAACCGTGATCTTTCAGCAGGATAATTTCACATAAAATATTCATTGCATATTCTCTCATTTTATTTGCAAGTTCTTTTTTCTCCTGCAGCATTTTATTGACACTATGTTATAAAGGAACAATAAAAAATGTCATATCACACCTTATAATGTATGTGATTATGAATAGACATAATTGTAATAAAGGAAGGAATAGAGTATTTGTTTAAACTTTTTCCTTGTTTAATGCATTGTGGTATAGTCAGGCTTCATAACCTCTGATCCCCATTCAAAATCAATCAAACCGAGCCTACAATATTTTCAATTTTGTCGTTTTGTACATTCTTTAGATTCTTTATTTCTCTCTATTTTAACTTTCGTCAGAGATGTAGATAACATCTAGATAATATCTATGTCTGTGCTTTTGTACCTGCTATATAACTAATTATCTTCATATATACAAAGTTACTGATACATATATATATATTTTGTAAAATGGCCTAACTGACTCCATCTGTCAATATGTCAGGATAGTTCGTAACTTTGATATACCGACTTAATAGCTTTGAATTGACAAATAATCAAAATAATTTCAATATTAATACTGCTGCACCATTGTCTTATACAAATAGATTGTCTAAGGAAAATGGCGGATTTTGCAGACATCTTAGCGTGAAACTGATAACGATCGCCGACTGGCTTATCTGTAAGACCCCTGCCAGCTTGATTGACAGGCGGCGTAATGTCAATTGCAAAATAACCACATGTTGTTGTAATTATTACAGATGTAAAGATAAAATTACAAGACGTATAAATTGCAGACAGGAGCAGATTATCAGCACATTTTAACATTATAATATAATTTTATTACAATGCACTTTTATTACAATATGTGGCATTAGAAATCCATTGTTATTTATTACTCATAACTCTTATTATAAACTGTGCATTATGATCTGCATGGAAATCGGGAAATAACTGATACAGTCAAAGAGAATCCTGAATTTGTATTACCGCAAGTAATAAGCATAACATTATCAGTTTAATTGATCACCGGTGGCCGCGATAATACTCATGTTTCGGAAGACCGCAAATCAATTGCTAGACCTATACAGAACTAGAGGTAAATCCGTAAAGCTACAGTCTCACTTACATCCCGGCAGAGCCCCGGTAGACGTCCGGGGTGATCCGGGAACGACCGGGGTACGACCGGGAACAACCGGGGTACATCCGTAACTCTGCCGGCAACGTCCTGGATGATCCGGGATGATCCGGGAACATCCGGCATTCGACCCCGGATGGAATAAAATATTTAATATCACCGGGGTGGTCCGGGATGATCCGGGAAGGTATAGCTTTGCCGGCTTCATCCTTAGCTCTACCGGGAACGACCGGGGTTATACCGGGAAAGCACCGTAGCTCTGCCGGCACAAACCGGGGATGATCCGGGGTATGATATAGCCGGTAGAGCTACGGTAGAGCTACGGTAGAGCCCCGGTATATGCCGGCAGAGCCCCGGTAACTACAGGTAGAGCCCCGGTGGATAAAGGTAGAGCTACGGTTGATCCCGGTAGAGCCCCGGTAGAGCCCCGGCAAAGCCCGGATCATTTCAAAAGAATAAGGACAATTTGCTATCATTGAACTTGTTTGTATTAAAAGCCTTCCAATTTCCCTTCTATCCAGTATGGCATAAGGATTTTTCAGAAAATCATCATGAATTACTATTCTGGAACAATCGATATTATATTAAATAAAAATTATGTATCAAAGTTATGATTTTCGGGCGTTTTCAATCCACCGGGGTTCTACCGGGGCTCTGCCTGGATCGTCCTGGGCTCTGCCGGGGCTCTGCCTGGACCGACCGGGGCTCTGCCTGGGTCAACCGGGGCTCTTCCGGCGTCATCCGGGAACGACCGGGGAAGCACCGGCATGAACCGTAGCTTCACCTGGGCTCTGCCTGGATGATCCGGAGCGCATCATGGGTGGTTAGTAGGGAACTACCGTAGTGCTGCCGGGGTAAGTTACCGGGATGGTCCTGGGCTCTGCCGGGAGTAAGTGAGACCGAGGCTTAACGTACCGGCAAACGGTATTAAGCTAGGTTTTAGAAAAGGTCAATTAACCAATCAAGTATGGAGGCTATTCGTTGCCAAAAATCCAGCCTTTGAAACTTGACAATGCATACTTCGGTTCTACTAAACAGATTAGTAAAAATCTAATTGTCGATCCGAGAGTTACATACTGCACTGGTATTATGCGTTTTGATTATCTCGATTTGATAAAATGGAAGCTGTTTACATGCAACTTAGCTAAGTTGCAAACTGTATTTAGAAATGTATTACATTTTGTACTTCAAATTTGTGACATGTAGAAATGTTAACAATAGAACGTACACAACACGTTTATTGCTGTGCATCATGACGTTTCACCAGTTAACACTCTCAGGTTGACAAAACCACACTTTCCTTTTACATTCTAACGCGATTAACATTTGTAAACGATTTTGCAACTTCCATATATGGAATTATATATATATATTCAAAACTTAGCCAAATTTAAGACCTCTGTTTACAATTGCAGGTATGATCATATTCTAGAAGTGCCTACAGTTCGAACCACCAGGTATGGACAATACTCCTTTCGTTTTGAGGCTGCCCGGGTGTGGAACAGCCTCCCCAGTGACATCAGAAGAGTAGAAAACTTCAAAGAATTTGGGAGGCTGGTTGGCACCTGGACAGGCCCAAAATGTAAGTGCTCAATGTGTCGCTTGTAGCCTTTTGTTAAACACATGTGTCTAACATGTGTTTGTATGTGATTAACATGTTTTATATGTTCTTTTATGTATAGTCCTTAGATGTTGCAAATATTATACCAATAAATGTTTAATGTTACTTTTTATTTGCATTATGTGATAGTCCTTGTAATTTCATTGTTTTTTTTTTGTTTTTTTATGTATGTCTTTTTTTTATATATCTATTATATTTCTTTTACAGGTATGTACATAGGTGTATATGTATATCTTATTTTTGTATTCTTCTTCTTGTAACTTTTGTAGTTTTTAACTTATCTTAAATTTTTATTTTCTTAATTTCATATTCTTAGATGTGCTTATACTTATTTTTATACATGTCTGTCTTTAACTAATATATAACTCTTTTACAGGAATGTACATTATTTATATTATCAGTTATTTGTTTTATCTTGCTTGTAATTATTGTAACTTTTAAGCATGCATGGTGCTATAATAACTTAAATCCATGTATTTAGATGTGCTTATGCTTTTTAGTTGCTTTAATATCTTACTTCCATATACTTAATTGTGCTTATGCTTATATCTTCTTTTTTAGCTGCTTTACTTTTGTTTAGTTCATATACTATTGTTTGTCGGAAAATAGCTCATGAGCTAATGTTTTCTGTTTATATGTATCCGACGTAAAATAAATTTTCTTGTATCTTGTATCTTGTATCTTCTTGTATCACGGAAATAGACGAAAATTAATAGTCAGAGCCAATTTTCACGAAAGCAGAATATAAAGAGAGGTAACTCTTGCTGGTACAAAATATTACAAATGATATAAAACTGTTATAAATTTCACATACATCAACTGTATTACAGTTGACTTTGATTGTTAAAACGTATTCTAGCACAGGATATTAAAGTTATGCGAAATTGGTTAATAATTATTGTAACAATGTAACAACGTTTATACTGATAATGAGCATAATAATATGCAAAAACTAAAGTTGGTGAATTAACATAAGGGAATGTTTCCCATATATAACGACACAAACCACATTCCCTTTAAACGTTATAACGGTAGTATTCGATAGCATGACTTTTACATTCAGTAAACATCACTTTTGGCAACACGAATAAAGAGAAATGAACAGTAAACCTGTGCCATCTTTCTTTAAAGGACTATATTGGGTTGTAGAAAACGCCAAATGTTTTACCATGTGTATAGCTATGGAACTATTCAAAGGTTACTATCAATAATTCCGTTGTATAACCAAAAACTTGTGAATTTGTCCCATTTTTATGTTGAAGTGTATCCTAGAATCTCGTTTTACCTCCATTGGGAGATATTTTGAGTCATATGGTGTGAATTAGCCTTTTATTATTAAATATATGTAAGCTGATTGACGTAGGTTAAGGTCTTCTTTTATGCATTGTACTGAATCAATGACAGCTCTAAGATCTATGTATACATGCTGTCAATAGCTGTTACCTATAGACTTGCTGTCTCTCTGATCAAAAGCAAAGAACTATTCTTATGTACATGAAGTACTACACATAATATTTATTAAGTTTTGTAATTGATGGCTTTCTTAGAGATAAAATAAACAAGGTATACATAAATTGATAATCAACATACATACCTTTGGACTCATATTATTATTGAGAAAAAAATGGTAAAAATGGGAAAATATATCTATACAGTATGGTAAAAATAAAAAGTTATGTACGAAAGGGTATATACCAATTTGGTTTTAATTTTACTATTGTAAAAAGTTTTTTCTTGCGCAGCTATACGCTAGAATTAAGGTTACTAGTAAATGCTACTACTAAGAAAGACAACAGCCAGAATTTGGTCTGTATTAGTATTTATTCGTATCGAAATCTCTCTTGAAAATTTGAAAGTGGTAAGGTAGCAGCATAACTGTCAATGTTACTTATTCCTATTAAAATTGGAATCCCCTCAGTAAAATTTATTTGTCGTTGAATATAGTCTTATCAGGTATATATATTAACATAATAAGTACCTGGTCTTATCAATAGTTATTACTTCCTTGTAAATATTCAACCTCAGACAGTAAGTAACCTGGTGAGGAGGTTATTTTTCTTCTTCTTTTTTCTAGGAAATGTGATATCTACAACGTTTCAAAACTTACATGCCTATAATCATTTAAAGTCCGCTGATGTTGATTGAATAAAGGCATGGAATGGCAATCATGCAAGTGAATTATGTTTGGTGAATAGCTAAACACCTAAAAGGTGTGTTAAACGGAAACTCCGCCGGTGCGTGTTTTTGTTTCCTTCTTGTCACTGACGGTAAATACCGAAAATGAGCGGATAAATACGTTTATTAACGATGATGTAGTGGGCGGGAAAATGGGCAGAGCTTCTTTGAACTCCTATTGAAAAACGTGTAAAGCTGGTTTATGCTGATCTGAACCATGATGGTTTGACAAAGTAAAGCTGAGAAAGTAACTTCTGTTTTGTCGGCGTTTACACAAACAATGAGTATTCCGCATGTTATGATGAACACTTGGTATTGCTACTTTCAGAAAAACAGTTAATGTTTTGTCGTTTAACAAAATGTATTTTGTTGAAATACATGTTTACAATGTTAAATCGTAGTTTACATACAAAGAAATGCAATTGTATTTTGTCCGTTAACAAACTGATCAACTCAGATCAACAAGGCTGGATTTTTGGCAACAAATAGCCTCCATAATCATGTACGGTTTACAGATCACATGCTCTTCCATGTACCGAAAACAGGTCACGTGCTCCTCCTACCTCAAAAGTTAAACGCGTACCAATACCCTGCGGTCTCCAGACCGCAGGGAATGAATTACATACATGATAAAGAAAACTAACAAGTAAAATGGTTTCCTGCGGGTAACATTTTTAATGATATAAAGATATTTCATTTAACTATTTTCAACATTGTTTTGGGAGAGGGGAATAAATAAACGTTTGTATCAGGAATATAGTTGACAATAATCGATCAATATAGAAGAAAGTCTTTGGAAACTGGTGACCGTTGATGACCGGAGAAGGTCGAACATAAAACAATTATTTCTTTTTAAGAAAATGATTAAATAGGCCTACCATCTTATGAATAATTCCAAGCAAAAAAAAATGTAGACACACAAGTTTACGCAGAAAATATCTATATTTATTATGGCAGATGCCACTACGAATATTTTAATTTTGTAGATTTTCAGTATAAACAATTTATTGTTTGTAAAATTTGAGATACATATATTAAAGAAACAATGATAATTTTCAAATACATCATTCAAGTTTTTCCACCTTAAACGGTAAACTAATTATAGAAAATTAGAAATATCACGTAATAGTTTTTTGTTCTTAATTAGGTGTAATTCTGACTAATTCCCTAGAGGTAATTCCGTAACGTACCGACAAACGGTATTTAGCCAGGTTTTCGAAAAGGTCAATTAACCAATCGTGTACGGTTTACAGATCACATGCTCCTCCATGTACCGAAAACAGGTCACGTGCTCCTCCATGCCTCAAAAGTTAAACGCGTACCAATACCCTGCGGTCTCCAGACCGCAGGGAATAAAATATCTTTTTGTTAATATTTTATCGAACTGAAAGGCAATTAAACGTTTACTATATCGTATGTAACGACTGGAATATTGATTTCAACTTAATAATTTATTTTTTCGATAGCGCAAAAAAAAAAAATATGCAGATACCACTTTTACGGTAGAATTGCATTATTTCATGCAATAACTAAAAAACATATATATTTTCAAATATTCGATGACCGCTGATTATTTGGCGGTAATTATCGGATTCTGAACTATACAAAACAGATTTCGATGTCTGGTTTAACGGTATATGTAAAAGATAGAATTACAAGTAGAATTAAAAGAATATCACTCGCCTTACAAAATTAATCAAAATTATGAAATAAAAATAAAATGCTAGAAATGAAACACGATTTATCAACTTATGTTTCATATAGTTAACAGATATAATAAAAAAGACAGTTTTATGAAAACTGCAAAAGGGATTTTCAAAGATTCGAACTTGGCCTACTAGGTCACAACTTCGTCCTACTTACCGCCTGAAGGCCATCGAGCAATATTAATTGATTTAATATCGAGATCTATACTATCAATAAAATCTTTAGCATAAATCATAATAAGTTACGTAAACTAACGAAACACCTCCCGAAAATTAATGAGTCTCAGGTCAATATTGCCAGACAATACTTGCTTATTTAACAATCATAGCAGTTCCTTGACAATATTGTTAAGCAAGTTTCCTTTATATATGATGTTTTATTGTGAATAAACAATTACTCAACATATTGTTCCTCTTTTCTTTATACTTGAACCATTAATTAAACTAATATTTTCTTATATTTATGATAATACAGTCATTTTCTATCCGGCGACTTGATGCTTTAGCATCAAAATCTCTACTTGTTTATAATGATATCGTTATTTATCTTGGAAAGGTGTTGCAAATGGATATCCATCCCTTCCGGATGTTCACATAAGAAAAGATTAGGCCTTATTTTGAGTTAAATAAATGCGTGTTCAATATAACTAACAGATATGAATCTATAAAGCTTGATAAAAACAGTAACGTTTAATTTTTTTACATTTACATGTAGTTGATCTACGACCAGAATGTTCAATACATATTTACGAATAGATTTATAATGCATCTAAATGTTTCACAGATGTAGCCACATACACGGAAGACAATTCGCTCAGGAAACAAACTATCGAAAAACTGACGTCACACATTACGCTCAAGTTAAACAGTACTACATCAACAAAGTCAGTTATATCCACATCGCCAAAAGTGCCACTAAGTTCAACATCATATCTTGTGTCAACACTTACTTCCACCTCAGTATCAACATCTTATTCAACCTCATAACCTACATCTTTTTCAACGACCTCAGTGTCATCAAAATCAAATTCATCGCCGATTTCTACTCCTCCAATACTTTCAAACGCACCAATGTCTTCACAAACATCTTTGTCTACTTCAACAATGCGTTCACCAACATCAAATGATTTTGCATCAAGCACAATGCCTTACATCTCATATTCGGATGAATCTTCAACAATGCCGTCTGCTAATAAAACGTCGACTCAAAATCCAGGTTTTGGAGGTAAATCTAAACAAAAACCTTGAAATTTAAAACTTTGTCAATCTAAATACAAAACCATCAATTTAGTTAAAAAAAAGTATGTGGTGCGCGTGAAAATTGATGTTATCAAACACTGTTTACATTTATTTATTATTTTTTTTTTTGGTAATAATCATCTTAAAATAATATATGTATCTCTTTTGTTGTTGATTAGAATATTCGTGTCAATTATTAATTTACCGGTTTATATTTCTCATAGGACGACAAAATAAATAATTTCAATTGTACATCTACATTTTCATTTTCTAGGTTTTCACATCACCACGGATCTTGTCCTGGAAATCGTTTTCATTGTCATTTGCCTCGCTATTGCCGGAGGTTTCATAACATATGTTCTTAAAAAGAAAGGGTATTCTGAAATATTTTGTGATCTACAAATTTACCGATCTTCTCTAATATTTTTTTCAATTTTCTGGAGAATTTTTATATCGATTTATCTGCTAAAGATAATATCCAACATCGATTTGATAACTGACTATTGTCATTAAAAAATTCAGATAACAGTTTCGTTTAGTTTTAATGTACAGTGTTGTATGTGATGTTTGTTTTAAAAACCCTCAGTTTCAAACGCATTAATATGCATGCATGTCAAATGTATGTAAATAATTTTCTTAATTGGTTTTGAAAATATTGTTTTGTAACTTTTTCATTCATATATCCTTTAATGAGATAACACGTTCACAAAAACGTTTGCATTTTATTTTCTTTATAATTGACTAGACATATATCCTGCCAACGATGTAGAAGTTGTCTTCATGGACGGCGCAGGCGAAGATCTTCAACATCGAGTCAAGGGCCTCTTACACAAGATAATGCAACCTTCGACAATATCTCGGATCCCCCGAGACAAGATCGGGAACTTTTCTCAATCGGAGATCAAGATGGCGGACAAGATGGCCGACAAAGATCTATGCAGCGACATGGCACGGAGGACGATTACTTTTATGATGAAATATTTGGACAGTCAGCGTTTGTTGATGAAACAACGAATAGAGCTAACACTTATTTATCAGTTGCTGATGATGACGATGATGATATACTAAGCGGTTTGAACGTCCCAGATCTTGTTTTTAAAACACCAAAGAAAATGTGAAAATTGAAATGACTTCTAATATTGATATTATGTGTTTAGTAACCAGAAACTGTTTGCTAAGATATAAGAAATCATGAAATTTACATGTTAAATGTGTGTACCCTCTAACACGGATACCATCAAACATAAAGGAAATAATTTAGAACATTGTGATGTACATTGGGCACATGTTGACCCATTTGTTCAAAGAATTTATTAGGAAATGGGAGAATGCATACAGTGCCTGTTTGTTTGTTTGTGTGTTTGTTTGTTTTGTGGCGACTTTCTGCAAATGTGGCATAGAATTACCGCATTGGCTATTAGTACTAACATTTGCAAATGTGATTTGCATATCATTTCATTTCCTTACATTTTTATATAATCTTTATATATTTTAAATTTCAATATACATTATTTTGCATTTAATTTTTTACAAAATTTTACATTGCTGTTCATTACTATAGATTTCATTTCTTTACATTATATTACATTACATCAAATCGCATCACATTATATCAAATAACATTCCATTACATCGTATTTTGCAAAAGAGTACTTTTACAAGCCTATAAAAAGCTTAAGGAGACTGATGTGTGAGGTAACTTTGAATTTGAAAAGATTAACCAATATATGTATTTCAGATATAATAAAAAATTTGTACATAAATTATTTATTCTAAATATATGTATATCGACACATGCCTAATCAAAAATATTGATATTTGTGTCTTTTTTAGATATGCATTATGTCATTTACATTTTTAAAATGGTTATAAATACGGACGTGTAATAACAGCGTGCAATAACAAATGTACGGTGGCACAAATGTGACATGTGTGTGTTTTTATCTATCTCGTGGCAACGAGATATTATGTCGTGGCCACGAGTTACTAAGTCGTGGCCACGAGATAGCTAAGTCGTGGCCACGTGATACTATGTCGTGGCCACGAGTTACTAAGTCGTGGCCACGAGATAGCTAAGTCGTGGCCACGAGATACTATGTCGTGGCCACGGGATAGCTAAGTCGTGGCCACGAGATAGCTAAGTCGTGGCCACGAGTTACTAAGTCGTGGCCACGAGATAGCTAAGTCGTGGTCACGAGATACTATGTCGTGACCGCGAGATAGCTAAGTCGTGGCCACGAGATACTATGTCGTGGCCACGAGTTACTAAGTCGTGGCCACGAGATAGCTAAGTCGTGGCCACGAGATACTATGTCGTGGCCACGAGTAACTAAGTCGTGGCCACGAGATAGCTAAGTCGTGGCCACGAGATACTATGTCGTGGCCCCGAGATAGCAAAGTCGTGGCCACGAGTTACTAAGTCGTGGCCACGAGATACTATGTCATGGCCACGAGTTACTAAGTCGTGGCCACGAGATAGCTAAGTCGTGGTCACGAGATACTATGTCGTGGCCACGAGATAGCTAAGTCGTGGCCACGAGATACTATGTCGTGGCCACGAGTTACTAAGTCGTGGCCACGAGATAGCTAAGTCGTGGCCACGAGATAGATAACCAATCATATTACACCATTTATATGAATTTCCTTAATTAACTAGACATGTGCTATAGTACAAGGATGTCCACACTTCACCAGCCTGTAAAAGTGCCATTTATACAACTTATTGACTTGTTAATAATTTTACATTTAGCGTCACTATGACCCTGATATTTGACCCAATGACCTCGAAATTATTAGATGTCATCTACTGATCAGGTGCAATGATCTTCCTGGGTTATATAAACCATGGCTTATCCCTTCTAAAGTATTCCTCAGACAAGGTTTTACCTTATAGGCCATCTACTGTCCATGGATTATGTCCCTTCCAAATAAAATAAACCAGGACTTATTCCTTCTCATGTTATCGTATAAACAAGTTTAACAGGCCATAGTACGTACAAACTAACCAATTCGATCACAAAATTGTCCCAACAAAGAGCTAAAGTCAAAATTAATGTCTGATGGGCCTTGGAAGGTGACTTTCTAATATGATCCTAAAGACAAGTTCAAATTGAATATCTTCATTATTTTCAAAGATTAATGTTGATTGTAAAAGTAAGTTATAACGTTTAAAAAATTCATAATATATATAGTGTATCCTGATTGGTTTAATTATTTCGTGGCCACGACTTAGCTATCTCGTTCCCACGACTTAGTAACTCGTGGCCACGACATAGTATCTCGTGGCCACGACATAGTATCTCGTGGCCACGACTTAGCTATCTCGTGGCCACGACTTAGTAACTCGTGACCACGACATAGTATCTCGTGGCCACGACTTAGTAACTCGTGGCCACGACTTTGCTATCTCGTGGCCACGACATAGTATCTCGTGGCCACGACTTAGCTATCTCGTGGCCACGACTTAGTAACTCGTGGCCACGACATAGTATCTCGTGGCCACGAGATAAATAAAAACACATACATGTCACCTTTGTGCCACCGTAAATAACACTACAATCAAAACGTTTTGTTTAACATTAAAAATTGAAGAGAGTTTAAATAATTAAAATAATTTAAAAAAATTGGTTCATGTAACAAAATATTGTACAGTATAGTGTTTCTTTATTATGCCTCCCCACCCTCCCCTTCGAAGAAAAGGGGGTATATTGTTTTGCTAATGACGGTCGGTCTGTCCGTCGTTAGACTACATGGTTTCCGCTGATTATCTTTAAAAAAAATTATCACAAAGTTTTCATATTTCAAATTCTGACGGGTCATAACTAGTAAATGACCCCTATGATTTTTTGGGGTCACTAGATCAAAGGTCAAGGACTCAGGGGCCTGAAATGTCCGAATGGTTTCCGCTCATTATCTCGAAGGCCATTAATCACAAAGTCTTCATATTTCACATAATGATAAGTCATTTAAAGGAGATGAACCCTATTGATGTTGGGGTCACAAGGTCAGGGTCACTGGGACCTTAATTGTCAGAATGGTTTCGCTCATTATCTTGAAAACTATTTATCACGAAGCCTTCATATTTCACAGACCGATTGGTCATTTGTAGTAGATGACCCCATTGATATCGGGGTCACTAGTTTAAAGGTCAAGGTGACAGGGGCCTTAAATGTCAGAATGGTTTCCAGTCATTATCTTTAAAACAAGTTATCACAAAGTCTTTATATTTCGCATACTAGTTGGTCATAACTAGAAAATGACCCCTATTGATTTTAGGGTCACTATATCAAAGATCAAGGTCACAGAGGTCTTAAATGTCAACATGGTTTCCGCTCATTATCTTGAAGTCAAATTATCATAAAGTCTTCATAATTTACATACTGATTGTTCATAAAAAGTAGATGCCACTTAATGATTTCGGGGTCAATAGCTCAAAGGTCATTGTCACAGGGGCCTTTAATGTCAGAATGGTTTCCGCTCATTATCATAAAAATAATTTATCACAAAGTCTTCATGTGTCACATATAGATAAGTCATATGTACTAGATGACCCCCATTCATTTCGGGTTCACAAGTTCAAAGTTCAAGGTCAAGGGGGTCTTAAATGTGGGAATGGTTTCCGCTCTTTATCTTGAAAACTATTTATCACTAAGTCTCTATACTTCACAAAGTGATTGGCTTTAACTAGTAGATGATCCTCTTGATTTTGGGGTCTTTAGGGTCAAAGTCACAGGGACCTTAGATCTGTCTGTCTGTCTGTCCGTTCGTTGGTATACCATATGGTTTCAACTGATTATCTTAAAAACTATTTATCGCAAAATCTTCATATTTCACATACTGATTGGTAATAACTAGTATATGACCTTTTTTATTTATGGATCTCTTGGTCAAAGGTCAATGTCACACGGGCCTTTAATGTCAAAATGGTTTCCACTCATTGTCTTGAAAACTATCACATTTTCTTCACATTTCACATATCATTAGTCATATGTTTGTAGACCATGTGGTTCCGCTGATCATCTTAAAAACTATTTATCACAAAGTTTTTATATTTCACATTCTGATTGGTCATAACTTGTGGATGATCCCTATTGATTTTGGGGTTACTAGTTCAAAGGTAAAGGTAACAGGGCGTTTAAATGTCAGCATGGTTTCTGCTAAATATACTTCTGATAGCTTTCATTCAGTTTCAGTTCATATTTTGGTCATTATTTTTATACTAGTAAAATTTAAAATCCCTCTGGAATACGAAGGTTCATTTAGATCAATACATTGTTAAATTGTTGAAATCTTGGTGTAGTTAATACACGTGTGCTTACGATGCCTTTTATTGTCTCTATGTTTACTGGTACAAAAACAAAATATGAGCTGCATTGCATTATAACATGTAGCGGTATCTACATTGCCATTTGCATTACCAGTTTGCCTTGTCAAAATTTTATTATCACTTCTGGTGAAAATAAAACCTGGAGTGGCACGAATTTAATCACAAAATAAAAGTTTCCCCTCGATATGTTTATGGACTATGGCGAGGCAAATTTTGACACAAATGACATAAGGAAACGACCTCTGAATGTTACATACATGTAGTTAAGTTCATGGAAACAATATTTCTACCATCAGTTTCCATTATAAAATTTGTGTTGTCAGGCGGAACTAATTTTGACGCCAGGGTCATAATTTGGTAATCTTCATAGAGATCCGCCACCGAGTATCTTAGTCCAGGGTGATACAGGGAAGAAGATTTACTAGAAATACATAAGAGCGAGGTTTTACGAACGTGTAAAATGGCCAACTATGCATTGCACACCAATTAAATGCTACCTAGACGAATGTCTGTTTAGATCTGCGCAGTTGTTGAAATTAAAGGTAGAAATAATTGCATTACGTCCTTACTATTAGTGCTTGTTTAATACTGTGACAGGACGGGTTAGCTTCAGTCAATGTCGTAATGTATCCGACACCATATGACTTATTTATATACAAACAGTGATGCTCGTGATGGTTTATTACAATGCCTTGGACATTAATTAATTATGTTCGATAAACGATTATAATTTTTGTAATAAGCAAAAATGACTAACGATAAAACACCAAATTCGAGCATAAATGTACATGTAGTAGTATATAAGACAATAAAGGCATCAGGAACGTTACCAAATCTAACCAAACTAAAACAGCACACGTGTGACCTCGTTTTACTATATTAAAGTCGGCTATTTAAGGTTTCGAAGCCAGAACTATGTCCGCACAGAATCATCTCAAAAGAAAAATACAAAACTTTTAAAGATAAATTTCTACAGAACGAACTTGTTCCCTTGTTTCTTAAAGTCAACAAAATGAATATATTGAAAAGTTCAGATGTTTAATGACAGTGCAATGTAACAACTCTTACACCGATGCGTTTTGTTCAAATGCGAAACAGTTTCCCAAAGGTGGAGACATGATTAAATTTAGCCTGGTTCCACGATATCAAATCTAAGTAATACACAGACAGTTGCCCAAATCATTATTTGTATACGGAGATAAGAAAACATTGTCTTCCATAATAAAAAAAGTTTTCCGACAAAGCAATAAATTTAAAATTGGTTATGAAGTGTAAAGCTGATGAATGTGAATGATTTTATGTACTTCTGTTTTTATTGACGACTAAGTAATTCGTGTTATCGCAGTAAATCATGCCTTTTATTCAAAATCATATAAGACTAGGCTGATTCGCAGCCGAATAAGGCAAGTTCAAAACTCTCAACTGGTAATTTTATAATAATTGAAATTCCTTTATACCATTCCTTCCCTTACATAAGAGTATGACTATACCTAAAACTGTTTTAATATAAAACAACAACTAGTTGCAATACAAATTATGTATTTGAGTAAGCGTCTAGACAGTCAGATGAATAGATATAGAAGACGTCCGCGTATAAGCGTCTTCCCCCCTTTTTAATTTAAGTTTAAATTTTAAATACAGCTTTTTAATCTTAGTGTGGGATGTAATCCCACCGTTTTCCGGCCCCATTCAGTGCAATTATTTTGCATTGTTGGGGCAGGAAATATTGTACTCACTAGTCACATATGCAGATATTAACTAAATAAAGTGTTTTCCCTTTAATAAATGAAGCATGTGCTCGCCCATATGGTTTTTAACCGGTGGCGAGGGTAAATAAACTCAACACACACACACACACTCAGATGAACACTTATAATATGACATACGTATAGGATATCGACCGAGTACGAGGTCTTTCTGTTTAGGAAAGACCTGGTCACGAAATTCATGTGACACCGAGAGCGCGTAGCGCTCGAGGTGTTTCATGAAATTCGTGACCAGGTCTTCCCTAAACAGAAAGATCGATGTACGAGGCCGATATCCAACTTACACACCGTAAAACTTTATTGGTTTGAGCAATGGCTGATCCGAATGCACAAACATTATTTTTAACACAGCGCATATACAGGTAAGCTTTTATCAACGGTCTGCTTAAATACAATATACATGTATATTTTGCATTTAACTTTGCTTTTTCCCTTTAAAATAATAATAAAAAAGCTACATGTGCAATTTGTCAATAATAAAATGAATAGGTTTGTAATGGAAGGTATGTTATTAATGAATAATTATGTTGATAGTATTTCGTATCAGACATCGCAGATTCTAGGACATTTGCCCCCGGACGGTTGCCCCCTCGGACGTTTGCCCCTTTTTTGCTGTGTCGACTTGAGAATTGAGTACCGCTCAAGCCGGTGCTAGGGGGCGTGAGGGATGTTGCACTTATTCATTATCCCTCATGTACAGACTCAATCGAACCGAGTCTGCAATTCTCTTGTAATTTTGTTGTGATTACTTTGTTTCCAGATTTTTGTCAATTGTCAGATGTCATCTCGTGTATAGATTTTTTGTATGTCAATGGAAACATTATAGTTAATGCTAATTTGATTTTCACAAATTTGCGAGAGAGTTTTTGTGTATTTAAGCACAATGAAATTTCAACAATTGGCGATGAATTTTGGTAGCAAACAATTCAACAATTAAGTATTTTAACATTTTTAAAACAGGGAGTGGGGGGGGGCAATTGTCTGCCCCCAAAGATATGAGGGGGGCAAATGACCTCCACTGCATAAAAGGGGCATACTTCCGAGGGGGGGGGGGGCAATGTCGGATACCCAGCAGACCACGAAAGACATATGTACATTGTTGGCAAGTGTGAGATACTTGAACTGAAACTGTATTTTAGATAGCAGATTTTAAAGTGTTCTAGAATAAAATATGATCGTTCATCATAAATTTTTTTATACTAAATCACTTATAACTTTATTAACATTTCTTTTCCAAGAATTTTCTAATGATATCTGAATAATACATTTCTATCGTTTCTATCGATATTTGAAATACTAATGGAAGATGTGCCCATTGTAGACCAATCCACTTTAAGCACTTGTATATGCATGTCACTATAAGCAAGTTTTGGTGTATATCAAATTGAATACAAAATTCTTTTAACTAAGTCCTGGCTTCGAAGGTTTTCAGAAGAAATCAGTTTTGATTTTTCTCCGGTTAAATAGAAAAAACAGGATCAAGCCTAACTCAAAGAAATGGGGGCAGGGATTGACGGGAATTTAACAATCTGATTGATCCCGCCGTAGGGAATGCTACCAGGGACTTTGCTATTAACTGTGGGTAGCTGCGATTTCTAATGCAAAGTTGTGAAACGGACATATTTTGGTTTATTTTTTATATGAATTTTTGGTACAATTTTTATGTACCATGAATTTCTAGAACGTTAACAAGATGTTATGGATTAGATGATTTTAAATCGTAATAAGTATGATGTGATTAGTAATAGAAAGAGCACCGAAACACGAGGCTATCTGATTTGTACGAGGGGGCGTAGCCCCCGAGTATTAATCAGATTGCCGAGTGTTTTGGTGTTCTTTCTCTTTTGTATCATAGTCAAACATAAAAGCACGTTCCCTGTTGTCACAATATGAAACCCCGGCAAAAATGAACCAATGAATGAACATCTGAATATGACATTTCTGTCGCTTTCCCTTTCTCTGCCGTCACAATATGTAAACCCCAGCAAAAATGAGCCAATCAATGGGCATGCTCTGTAGTGCGGGTAACTAATACCCGCACTCCAGTTAACGCACTGTGCAAGTTTAGTATACGATTTAACCCTGACACATTTTCAACAGAAAGGTCTCCAAACTATGATACAACTGCTATAGTTTCATAGAAATGAACTTGAAGCGTCCATTTTTTTGTTATATTGTGAACTTAATGACAGAAGAACTTACTTTGAAAAATGACGCAAATAAATAAATGTTAAATGTGTCCTAATTTTGATATGATATCCATTTTATGTATTTAATATAGGGATGCTTGAATAATTGCTAAGTACATTCAATAAACACTATCTTGTTTAAACAATTTATCCAGATTGTGTGAGACAGGAACATTATGACAATCATTTACATTTTATTTCAGTTTTTAATTGCATTGACGTTTTCTTTGTCTGCGCATAGGCAGGTCTATTTTTTCACGTGTTTTTCATGACCGGGTCTGTTTGACTAGAACAGACCTGTGCACGTGCAAAAGATAGACCTCATAACGGACTTTCTTTTGTTTAAACAGGTCTATCCGAAAAATATAGACCTGTCACAAACAATAGAGGAGGTGTGTAAATTATTATTATTGTATAATAATGCAGTAAAACTTGACTATTATGTGTTTAACAATTTTACAAAACACATAATCATTTATAATATCATTATTTCTGATAAATATACTTAAATGAAATACCAGCAATATTACTTTATAAGATTACGTCACATCTATATGAAAAACTTGAAAATATCATTTATACATAATGTTGGTCCACAATATATGAAAACCTTGCTAAAATTTAAAATAAGTGTACAGGTCAGTCTGACTGTCCAAAGCTGAATGACTATTGAATCGATAATTTTGCACGTGCAAAATTATACGAATAGCGACACCTAGCGGTCACTCAATACATTCAGGGAAATTAATTTTCTTCTTATTCGCTACTCTCAAACAAAGAAAATTACATTTCCTTTATACCATTCCTTCCCTTACATAAGAGTATGACTATACCTAAAACTGTTTTAATATAAAACAACAACTAGTTGCAATACAAATTCTGTATTTTAGTAAGCGTCTAGACAGTCAGATGAACCAAAAAGAACGGGCATGTATTAATTATATATTGTGGACCAACTTATATTTCAAAATGCATATTAAATGAAAATTATTAACAACACAACGAATTAATGGAAGTGTACAAATTGTCTATAACATAATTCAAATTCACAAGCCGAGATTTAAAGACACTGACAGACGCTCATGAACGCTGTCTTTAATGTACATATCCTTAGCACCTTCACTAACCCAACGTCCGTGTCTCTTAAAAATCCTGTCTTTAATACCTTTATTTGCTGCAGCACTCGCTGCTCCTGAACGAAGTGAATGCAAACAATAATTATAATTACTAACATTATCAACATGAGGTTTTAACACTTCAATAAAAATAACTCGTAGATTAGAATACGACATTGGCTTATTTATTTTCCTTCTTCTGTATCCAGTTTTTGTTGCACTTATATTACAGAATAGAAAATAATCATCCAGAAATTCTCCCCACAATATTAATTTCTGAACATTTGCAACTGGGCATAACTTTGTACCCGTTTTTGCAATCAATACCCAAGCCCCATCTCTGTATTTATCTGTCTTGCTACTTTCAATGAAAACAGACATATAAGTAGAATTAAACACTATGTCTCTAACACGAATTTTTAAAAGTTCAGAACTTCTTAAAAAACCTGCGTATGCAATCAAAATAGCGCAGATAATTCGTTGACTTTTTATATTATACTCTACATACAATCTGTCATAAATACTATTAATAATTTCTACATTAATAGGTTCTTTCCTTTTAACTGGCTTTGACAGAAGTCGTTTACTAGCTTCAAGAACATTTAAAACCAATTTTGATTCTGTAGGCGAAATTAATCCATACATATCGTGAAACCATTTAATAGAATAAAAAGCTGAAACGATGGGGCTTGGCGAATTTACAGTCTGAACAAGAGATGCTAGATAAATTGCAGCTGTCAGTATTTTAGCAGGCAAAGTATCCCTACTCCCAAACCCATTACACAGAGCCCATTTTTGAAAACGTAAAAATGCACCAGTATACTTTTTGTCCGTTCCTCGTGCTCTTGAATTACGCAACAGGTCCGAGAGCAAGTCCACTTTTTCCACCAAAACATTGGGCAGTTCTTCAATATCCTCAGCGTATATCTGGAGAAATAAATGTAAAAAGAAAAATGACAATAATATAAATCAGCGCAAGATCAAATTGTTGCATTGTTATTATTATCGTTTGTTATAGTTGTAATTTTTATGTAACAAAAATGCTTTACAGCAATATGTTCGTGTGACAAGCAATATTAAAAGCGAACCGCCGTATAAAGCAATAGTGCAATGTGCGATACCGTATTTATCTTTTGCAAGGGAGACCATCCGGTTATTATTTAATGAAAATACAAACTTAATTGTTTCCCTTGAGTAAACTGTTATTTTAAAGCTAACATTCTAAATTTTAAAAGATACCTTTTCCATTTCTACACTTAATATTTAAATGTCTTTCCGAAGGTGAATCAAACCAATCTACAACTTCTTTTATGAAACACCCATTCGGGCATATAAACGGCCAAACTATGGCGGACTTCCAACAAGGAAGATACTCCATGTGCGTGGTCACAAGCCAATTTCATAATTACTCTATGAATAACAGATATAGGAGGTACAAATAACCCAAACTGCCCTTCCCAGCTTTCCAAAAAGGCGTCGATCCCAAAACAATCTGGGTTTCAAAATCTTGAATAAAACTTAGTCAGTTTAGCATTGTAATATGACGCAAACCAATCAACATCTAATTGACCGAAACGATCAGTTATCATTTGTAATATATCAAACGAAATTCCCCAGTCATCAAAATCAGACAACCTCGATAAAAAATCTGCCTTTTCATTTTGTGTTCTGGGGACCCACTCTACTTCTAAGGAAATAGCATTCTTCATGCAATACTGAAAAATTGCATAAGCAATTTCTTGCAGTTCTTGCTTCATAGAACCCTTTAAAACAATAGCCTTAACCCCTTGATTATCAGTAAACCACTTAACACATTGACTTTTAAGGAAATGTCCTAGAGCCAACAATACTCTGTAGACAGCAACCAATTCCCTCCAAGTGGAAGATTTGGTGCGTTCTGTTTCTGACCAGACGCCATGGGATACCCCATTTAAGGTATTAACCTCATACCCAGCGTAAGCTGTGTCACTTGCATCAGAATACACTACTTTTGTACAGATATGAGATCGTTCAAGATCTTTCTTGTCTATACACGACAAGTAACCTTTCCAGAATAAAAGCTGTTCATAACTCTCTGCACTGAGTGAAATGCGCTCATCCCAATACCGTGTATTTAATACATCTAAAGTTAAATATCTAGTCATAATTTGAGATATATGCCCAATGACTGTCGTCATAGAAATAAACTGACCAACTGCACTAGCAACTTTTCTTACTGGAACTTTAAACTTCTTGTCAATAAGGCCAATCAAAAAATCAATAGTTTCTTGTGCTTTTAACAATCTACGATCGGGAATGGAAATAGTACCATTGATTGTATTCAAATCACACCCAAGATACTCTTATATCTGTACAGGTTCCCATATACATTTGGTAGCATTAGGTACGAAACCCGAATTAAGTAAATCTGTTTTTATAATATGACTTAACCTCACAGTATTATCAAATGAATACGCGCACCCTAATCCATCATCTAAAAACATTGTAACAAGCAATCCCTCTCCATGCCACTTATTTATCAGAGGCCTACACAATTTCGTGAACAAATAACAGGCAGACGATAAACCAAAAGGAAGTACTAAAAACTTATAATATATGACATTGTCATCTTGGTCTTTCCAACTAAAACCCAAATACTCTGTATGCGGGTCAAATATTTGAACAAAATGATATGCACTTGTTAAATCAAATTTTATCATAAAACACCCTTTTTTTAATTAAGGAAAGAGCAATTTTTATATCTTCATATTTAACACTTTGCTTCCACAGGTGCTTGTTAACCTCTCTCAGGTCAAGTATAAGACGTTTTTTACCTGAATTTTGAACTGATACGGTAAGAGGGTTAACTACATAGGGAATTTTCGAACATTTTTTGATCAAATGTCTATCAAGTAAATCATTTATCGCCTCAGAGAACATGAACATGATACATACACGTCTTAGCAATGGTAAATTTTGTTCGGTTACACGTCTTCACCTGTGATATATTGCATATTTCGTAAAAAAAGATTTAACCTTTAGTATACCCAAATGCCTGCTTAATGAGATTAAGCAACAAAAAAGGGCAATATTTAAACATACAAACTTTTTTTTCCTTTTAAGAATGTTTAAAACATTTTTATGTGTAAAATTTTTCCTGCTTGTTTTACGTAGAATTATTTACAGTAAAGTGGTCAAATGATATTAATGCCAAAGTCTTTTTTTTCTCCGCTTGCTTCTTTTTTCTCACATTGTTGGAAATACACATGCACAAAAAGGTTATCATATAGGCTACTGAGCAAAAATATTAAAGAGTCCAGGAGCAAATGTTTCAGACACATTTAGACTACACACACATGTATAAGGGTATGTCTTTGTGTAGTTTTGCTTTTTCTTTAGCTTCAATATAGTACCCTTTTTTCTTGAGATTAAAATCAACACAACATATTACTTAATTCACAATCAAACATTATATGTTGTTCAGTAAATACAAAAACGAGACATTTCTGCTCGCACGGATTTCACTAGCACGATTAACTGCTTCGAAGCTTCCTTTATGGCATCAATTTCCATCATTTCAATTATAATGAGCACGTTTGTCCCTGTATCATATCAACACAATTTTGATATAGCGTTGTCTCGATATAAACCTGATCATTATGGCGCTGATGACGTTGCACTAGTTGAAAAATCCGTCTCGTATTCGGGAAACTGCGTTTCTCTTTCCGTTGAAGTCTGACTTTCACTTGTTACATGACTTGATAGTGTTGTAACTGAATGACCCTCTCGAGTTGAGACTACATCTGTTGTTGCTGAAGCAGTTACAGTATCATTTGTATCTGTCCTCACACCGCTTGTCGTAGCTTTTACATCATTAGTAACATTTGGTGCACTCAAATCAGTAACGTTTGCTACAGGTGCATCGACAGTTATATCTGGAGCATTGGTTGTTACACTCGGTCTTTCAGTTGTGATGTAGTAATAGTCAGTGTCGTTGTACACATCGTAATAATCCGACGTATTGTAGCCAGAAAGTGTGGTTGATTCGACTATGACTTGGGACTGTGTTGTCATCGTGGAAGCCTTAGTTGTATTTAGAACAGCCGATTTTCCCGAGTGGACAACTGAGGTGACGTTATCGTTAGAAAGCAAAGTTTTATTTTGAGGCTGGACAACTTTCATTGTTACATTTCCTTCATGCGCAACTGTGGTTGTGATATATTCTGTTACTGTATCTGTCTGTAAAGATTTTGTCACAAGTGGTTGCTGTTGGGCTTCTTCTGTTGTATTTGCTGCTTCAGACTCAGTTGTATCGTTTAATGTTGAATCAGTTTGTGTAACATTTTGTTTTATTGGAATAGATGATACTGATGTAGGTAGGACTGTAACATTGTCAATGGCGACAGAAGCAGTTTCCATCACAGACTCTGTAATGACAGACGAGCTCGTAGTTATATCTGTTTCGCTTGTTTTGTTTACATTTGTCGATTTCGTATCATTTAAGAGTTCGGTAACATTGTTCACAACATCACTTGTTGTAAAAGTTGCAGTTTCTGTCACATTTCCGGTCTCTAAAGATGAAAGTGTTGTTGCTATAGAAATTGTGATCGTTGTTTTACCTTGTTTCGTATTATTTGATGTCGAAATAACTGATGTTTCTTCGGTTATATTTATAGCATTCGGAACATACGATGTATTGAATGCAGCTTCTTCATATTCATCAAGGAATGCTTCCTCAGCTGGTTTTTGCTGTTGTTGTTGTCGTTGTTGTTGTTGTCGCCGTCGTTGTTGTTGTATTAAATATATCGGTTGCATTTCTTGTCTCTGACGTATCTTGCATATTAACTGTTGTCATGTTGTCAGCATAGATCGTATCTGTAACATTTACCGGTGTTTCTGTTGCGAATGTTTCGCTTATCATATCAGCGGGTGACGTCTCTTGCACAGAATCACTGATGGTTGTTGATTCCATATCTAAAACACTGGCTGTAGAGTCATTAAATACTTGTTTTGTCGTTAATAAACTTGTATCTGTGGTGTTTATTAACCGAGAAGGAGAATCTGCTTGTCTTTCTGTGGTAGTCTGTGCAGGTTCAATAAGATCTGGAACAGTTTCTGCCGATGTGTGGCTCGGTACAACTTCAGTTGTAGATGGCGATGTTGTTTCATTAGACGATGGTACAGATGAAAACGATTCAGTTTCATTTATTACAGAAGCTGTTGAAATAGTTGTACTAATTACATCATCTGTAGCAGATCCATTTCCGGTGGTCACTGTAACAGTAGGTGATACTTCACTGACAGGCTTTGATATTTTCTCTATAGCAAGGCTCTCGGTATGAACAACTTGTGTTGTTACATCTGCTGGTGCTGTATCGTTGCCAATTGATGATGTAACTGCTTCAACTTGTTCTGTTGCGGGAATCTTAGATGAAGTTTTAACTGTAACGGGTATTTCCGTTGTTTTTTCAACCGACTGTGCGTCTTTGGTCGTTGCTATTTGAATATGTAGTGTGGAAGCATCGGTAGATTGTGTTGTTGCATTTATTTCATCGGTTGATTTATATGAAGCTACAATAGAAAATGTTATTGTCACTTCATCTGGAGTACGTGTAGTTACGTTAGGAAGAAGACTTGTCACTGATTGCTGTTGGGTAGTAATCTCTACTTCGGAAACAACAGATGTATCACTCTGGGCTATTTGTGTTGTTGGTGGCGTGGTTACTTTTATTCCCTCTGTACTTGTAGGTATTTGTGTTTTTTCTTGTGTAATTTCAGATTTTGATGTGGTAGTACCAACAGTTTCTGCCGAAGAGGTCTTTGAAATCGGAGTGGTTACTTCGCGTGCAGTTTGTTCAGTTACACCTTGTGTACTTGATTCTTGCACAACAGATACTTTTGTTGCTTGTGTGGATACTAACTCCACAGGTAATTCAGTTGAAGGTTCTACTGATACTTCGCTTGAAGTAGTTGTTTCGTAATCGTAATACACATCAGAAGTATTGTAACCGTATGTGTCTGTAGTGCTAAGGGGAACAATTTCACTAACGCCGGTTAAACTCTTTGTTATATGTTCGACCACATCCGAAGACTCAGTTGCGTCAGTCGTCAACTCTAGGCCTTTACTTGACGTTTCATTTACTTCTTCTAGCTTAGCGGTGTCCATAATTGTTGTTGCATTTGTAACCGGTGCAGCTACAGTAGTTAACTGAGCATGTATTGTTTCTGGTGAAGTTTGCATATCTTTCTTGTCGAGTGTAGAATCAGGTCCCACAGTTTTGTTATATCTCTCCGTTACTGAATCTTTAACTACCTCAACTTTTGTAGTTTCTATAAGTGTGATGCTAGTTGTGGAAGATGGTTCACTCTCAGTTGCAATTGCCCTTGTTGTTAGTATATCAGATATTGAAGATACATTTAAGATTGGCGCAGGCTCTGTAATTCCCTGTTCGCCTATTGTTTCATTAACAAGAATTTTAAGAGCTTCTGACGATTGTTGCGTGGTGACAAATCCTGTGTCTTCTGGTATCACTGTTGAAGTGACATCATCAGCGGGGATCGTTGTGACAGTTGGTTGTTTTGTTTCGTCAACAATTTCTGAACTTGTTGTTATCTCCGTTTCTTGAGAGGTCGTCACGGATGAAGGCAAAGTTGCATTCGAAAATTCAGTTGCGATTTCTGTTTTGATCTGAATAGTACTTTCTTGCATTTTGGCAGTGGTTGAAGTCGACACGTTGTGATCCACTGTTAGAGGCGATTCTGTTATTGTAATGTTAGCAGGTTCTGTTATACGACTACTGATGCTGTCTACATGTACAGTTGTCGTTTCAATAAATATTTCTTCTGCTTTTGACCCAGTAATAGTTTCCTTTGGCTTGTCTGTTGTTATATCGGAAGTTACTTGTATAATTTCGTCTGTCACTTTCTGCGCCGATTGAAGTGTTGTAACTTCAATACTTGTAGTTTTATCAGTCTGTGTTGTAAATGAAATTTCTTTTTCAATTGTTGTCTCAACAGGCAATATTTCAGAAACAGTCGATGATTCCTTGCTTACGGATTCAGTCGACGGAGATGTAGTCGATGTTTGATTTGCATCTTCCTTTGGTGTTGTTGTTACAGCCTTTAGTATTGTCTGTGTATAAGTAACCTCTGACGCATTAGTTGGTAGTTCAGTGACTTCTGTTGTTCCTGATTCTGTTGTTTCATATGTTTCATTAAGGTAATAAATTATGTCAAATATATTTGTTGTCACTTTTGGTGTTTCTGTTGTTACTGTTATGTTATCGACAGCCTTGGTTTCATCTTTTACTTCTGCAGTAGGTTTTAAAGTTGTTATAATTTCATCCGACGTTGTTCTGGAAGTGGTTTCTATAGTACCTGGTGTTTGTTTCTGTGTATGTACATCTATAATTTTCTCACTTGTTCGGATATCTTCTTGGGTGGTTATTTCGAGTAGCCCTTCCTTTTCAGTAATGATGCTCGGTTTAACAATTTTTGTTGTCTGTATGGTTTCTATTGGAGGTTTCGTTTCTTCAACTTGTGTTGTTGTTATCAATTGCATCGTAGTGGTTCTGTCTTTGCTCATTTCTAGTGTTGTTTCTGTTGTTGTTGTTTCTGTTGTTCTTTCTGTTGTTGTTTCTGGTGTTTCTTTGATAACTGTTATTTTTTGCTCAATAATTTGTTATCACCAGTTGCATATTTCATTCCTTTATTTAAAGATCCTGCAACTCAATTTGTATGGTTTTATATCATAAATAAAATGCTCAAATGACAATTTATCAATATTGTTAGTTCCAAAAACATTGAAAAAGCATTATTTGTAAAGATATTACCGAATTTACATTTCATGTTAATAAAGGGGGATAATTAGAAATTTATTTTCTATGAAGTCTAAGTTAAATGTTTTAATAAGAAATGAATGTATATATATTTTAATGATTACATATAATGTGGACAAATATTTGCAGTACATAGTTTACATATTCTTCGATGTTTGAAAATTGTTTTAGAATCATAATTGTATACATATAATTATATAATTGCACTTTTAAAAGTGTGGTAACAACCTTAATTACATCATACAGGATCTTTAATTAAAACTGAAACCGAAATGCTATTATTTTATTCCAGTTACTTGTTGATATCTTAGTTGTATGTATATTACCATCATGTATTAACATTTACATCATCCTTAAACCAGGTAAACATTGAACTGTTAAAATGATAAAATTCAATAATAAACGTGATTAGATAACACCCTTTGAAATACTTTATAAACTTGTTTTAGTTTAACAATAGTCCAGGCAACTTCACCTCTGATCATTAAATGAAAGACGGATCTTAACATGTTAATTTTAAATTGGATTTAAATACTTTGATTGTTTTATGGTAGGTGATAAGATTCAGTGTATAAAGGGCACCCGCTTAATTCATGTAGAGAGTATGATTAAATTAGGGGGCGGTATCTCGGTTGTTTGTGTCATACTAAATATTGGATTATCATCGACAAACAGTAAGTTATTTAATTTTTTCAATCATACTAATTTCCTTGTATTTTTGTTCATTTTATTTAAAATTTTAATATTACATTATCATAATTCTATTATTTAAAGTTGTTTAAACTTTATCGAGATCTCGTGACGTGTTTTTCTGAACTTGAAGATGATTTTTGACATGTACGGTGTTTGAAACTAGAGATATCTTCAGCTGATACCAGAGTACCTATCTATAACCGGACGATAACTGAACTGTATGTCGTTTGCTTTAATGATACAGTAGTGACTAAATATCACAATTAGATATCAAATATGATTGTTTTGTTGTTGATGCTTTTGTTATTGTTTATTCTTAGACTACTTCAAAGTTGTTGTTTTTTGTTGTTCAGAGTCTTTTATTTGAAAAAAAAATACATGTATTATCAAAATTGTTTATTTTTACGAACTGAAAGAAACACGTCATTACCAGTAATCTTGCCTTTTTACTTTAAGGAACGGACATTTCCATATATGACAATTTGTTCGTAATGGTATCGATATTTATCTTGGAAACGTGATGTTGCAAGAGAGAATCCACCCAGTTCCGATGTTCATATAAGAAAAGAATAGGCCTTATTTTGACTTTAGTACACACGTGTTTAATATGACTAACTTGTAATCATTTATTTACCTATATAGCCTGATAAATACAGTAACGTTGTTTAATAGTTTATCCACGACCATAATGTACGATACGTATAAACTATAATACATTTATAATACATCTAAATGTTTCACAGATGTGGAACCACATACTACTGAAAAAGATTCGCCCAGGAAACAAAGTACCGAAAATCTGACGCCACACATTACGCACAAGTTAAACAGTACTACATCAACAAGATCAGTTATATCCACAGCTTCAAAATCGCTACAAAGTTCAACACCTTATTTAGTGTCAACAGTAACTTCCACCTCCGTATCGTCATCTTATTCAACCTCAATACCAATACATTTTTCAACGACGTCAGTGTCTTCAAAATAAAATTCATCGCTGATTTCTACTTCTCCAAAACTTTCAAACGCACCAATGACGTCACAAACATCTTTGTCTACTTCAAAAATGCGTTCACCAACATCAAATGATTTTGCACCAAGCACAATGCCTTTCATCTCATATTCGGATGAATCTTCAACAATGCCGTCTGCTAATAAGACGTCGACTCAAAATCCAGGTTTAGGAGGTAAATCTAATCAAAAACCTTGGTATTTAAAACTTGTGTCAATCTAAATACAAAACCTTCAATTTAGTTAAAAAAATTAAGTGGTGCGCGTGAAAATTGATGTTATCAAACACTATTTACATTTATTTAATTTCATTTTTGTTGAGTAATAATCATCTTAAAATATTTTTTGTATCTCTTTTGTTGATTAGAGTATTCGTGTCAATTATTAATTTACCGGTTTATATTTCTCATAAGACGACAAAATAAATAATTTCAATTGTACATCTACATTTTCATTTTTTAGGTTTGCACATCAACACGGATCTTGTGTTGGAAATCGTTTTCATTGTCATTTGCCTCGCCATTGCCGGAGGTTTCATAACATATGTTCTTAAAAAGAAAGGGTATTCTAAAATATTTTGTGATCTACAAATTTACCGATTTTCTCTAATATTTTTTCAATTTTCTGGAGAATTTTTATATCGATTTACCTGCTAAAGTTAATATCAAACACCGATTTGATAACTGACTATTGTAATTAAAAGAATTAAGATAACAATTTGGTTTAGTTGTACAGTGTTGTTTTTGATGTTTGTTTTAAAAACTCGTAGTGTCAAACGTATTGATTTCAAATGTAAGTAAATAATTTATTGTAATTGGTTTTACAAGCACAGTTTTGTAACCTTGTCATTCATATATCCTTTACTTAAATAACACGTTCACAAAAACGAATTTGCATTTTATTTTCTTTATAATTGACCAGAATTATACCCTGCCAACGATGTAAAAGCTGTCTCCCTGGACGGCGCAGACGATTATCTTCAACATCGAGTCGAGGACCTCTTACACAAGATGATGCAACCTTCGTCAATATCTCGGATCCCCCGAGACAAGAGCGAGAACTTTTCTCAATTGGAGACCAAGATGGCGGACAAGATGGCCGACAAAGATCTATGCAGCGACGTGGCACGGAGGATGATTACTTTTATGATGAAATTTTTGGACAGTCAGCGTTTGTTGATGAAACAACGAATAGAGCTAACACTTATTTATCAGTTGCTGATGATGACGATGATGATATACTTAGCGGTTTGAACGTCCCAGATCTTGTTTTTAAAACACCAAACAAAATGTGAAAATTGAAAATGAATTCTGAGTTTGATATTATGTGCTTAAGTAACCAGAAACAGTTTTGCTAAGATATAAGAAATCATGAAATTTACATGTTAATATTAATGTTTATACCCTCTAACACGGATACCATCAGGCATAAAGTAAATTATATTTAAAACATTGTGATGCACATTGGGCACATATTGACCCATTTGTTCAAAGAATTTATTAGGAAATGGGAGAATGCATACAGTGCCTGTTTGTTTGTTTGTGTGTTTGTTTCTTTTGTGGCAACTGTTCAGCAAATGTGGCTTAGAATTGCCGCATTGACTATTGATACTCTCATGTGCAAAATTGATTTGCATATCATTTCATTTCATTACATTTTTATACTATCTTTATATATTTAAAATAACAATATACATTATTTTGCATATTTTTTTATTAATTTTTCACAAAATATTACATTACTGTTCATTCCTATAGACACGTGTCTTATCAAATATATTCATAAATGTGTCTTTTAGATATGCATCATGCCATTTACATTTTCAAAATTATATTAAATACAGACGTGTATTATAACGTGCAATAACTCTATACAATTAAAACGTTTTGTTCAACATTAAAAAATGAAGAGAGTTTATCAATTAAAGTAATTGGTTCATGTTACAAAAGAGTTTACTTTATATCGTTTCATTATCTAAACTCCCCGCAGCGGTTACTTCCCCTGATCCGTACGGAAACCACTGCCACCACGTCAGAGGCAATACATGTATATTTTTTCACTTTTAATTTTATAATAGAATACTTTATATAATTTTAGTTTCTTTCATTAAATTGCTATGCTTATTGTACAAGAATGTAAAAAATATACGTATAAAATTATTGTGTAAACATAACGAAAGATATTATCACTGTCACATGGTACAACTATTGTCACGTGAGTTTCAGTGGTGACAGTGCTTAAAGTAGCAAAGTGTGACGTTACCGCTGTGAGGAGTTTGTTGTTTATTATGCCCCACCTCATTCGAAGAAGAAGGGGTATATTGTTTTGCTAATGACGGTCGGTCTGTCCGTCGGTAGACCACATGGTTTCCGCTGATTATCTTTAAAACTGTTTATCACAAAGTTTTCATATTTCACATACTGATGGCTCATAACTAGTGAATGACCCCTATGATTCTGGGGTCACTAGGTCAAGGTCACAGGGGCCTTAAATGTCAAAAAGGTTTTTACGGTCATTATCTTAAAGTCCATTTATTAAAAGTCTTCATATTTCACATTGATTTGTCAAAAACAGTAAATGACACCTATTGATTTTGGGGTCAAAAGTTCAAAGGTCACAGGGGCCTTAAATGTCAGAATGGTTTCTGCTCATTATCTTGAAAATAATATATCACAAAGTCTTCATATTTTACATAAAGATTAGTCATATGTACTAAATGACCCCCATTGATCTTCGGATCACAACGTTCAAAGGTCAAGGGGGCCTTAAATTTGGAAATGGTTTCTGCTTATTATCTTGAAAACTATCAAAATTCCTTCACATTTCACATATCGATTAGTCATATCTTGGTAGACCATGTAGTTTCCGCTGATGCCGATCGTCTTAAAAACTATTCATCACAAAGTCTTCACATTTCACATAACTTGCGGATGACCTCTATTGATTTTTGGGTCACTAGGTCAATGTGAAAAGGTGACATTAAATGTCAGAATGGTTTCTGCTAAATATACTTCTGATAGCTTTCAATCAATTTCAGGTCATATTTTGGTCATTATCTTTACACTAGTAAAATTTAAAATCTCTATGGAATACGAGGATTCATTTAGATAAATTAAGACTTTTCCTGTTTCTTTATACATTGTTAAATTGTTGAAATCTTGGTGTAGTTAATACACGTGCACTTACGATGCCTTTTATTGTCTCTATGTTTACTGGTACGAAAAGCAATATAAGTTGCATTGCATCATAACACGTAACGGTATCTACATTCCAATTTGCATTCCCAGTTTACCTGTCAAATTTTTATTATCACTTCTGGTGAAAATGGAACCCGAATTCACACCTGATTGGCACCAATTTAATCACTAAATCAACGTTTCCTCTATATAACTCTATTTACTATTGCGAGGCCAACTTTGATACAAACGACATCATAGGAAAAAGTTAAGGAAACGACTTCTGAATGTTACATACATCAGTTTCCATGATAAAATTTGTTTTGGTTGGCGGAACCAATTTTGACGTAAGTGCCATAATTTGGTAATCTTCATAGAGATCCACCACCGAGTATCTTAGTCCAGCGCGATTCAGTGTAGAAGATTTACTAGAAATACATAAGAGCGAAGTTTTAACGAACTTGTAAAATGGTCAACTATGCACTGCACACCAATTAAATGCTACCTAGACGAATGCCTGTATAGATCTGCGCAATTGTAGAAATTAAAGACAGTGATTCTCGTGATGGTTTTTTATAATGGCTTGGACATTAATAAATTATATTTGATAAATGATTATAATTTTTGTTATAAGCATATGACTAACGATAAACACCAAATTTGAGCATAAATATAGCAGTATATAAGACATTAAAGGCATCAGGAACGTTACCAAATCTAGCCAAACTAAAACAGCACACGTGTGACCTCGTCTTACTATATTCAATGCGGTTATTTAAGGTTTCGAAACCATAACCATGTCCGCAAAGAATCATCTTAAAGAAAAATACAAAACGTTTCAAGATAAATTTCTACAGAACGAACTTGTTCCCTTGTTTCTTAAAGTCATCAAAATGAATATATTGAAAAGTTCAGATGTAATATGACAGTGCAATGTAACAACTCTTACACCGAAACAGTTTCCCAATAGGTGGAGACATGATTAAATTTAGCCTGGTTCCACGATATCAAATCTAAGTAATACACAGACAATTGCCCTAATCATACGGAGATAAGAAAACATTGTCTTTCCATAACAAAATAAAGTTTTGCGACAAAGCCATTGATTTAAAATTTGTCATGAAGACTAAAGTTGATGTATGTGAATGTTTTTATGTACTTCTGTTTTTATTGACGACTCGCAAAGATATTCGTTTCATTGCAGTAAAGCATACCTTTTCCAAAATCATATAAGACTAGACTGCTTCGCAGGCGAATAAGGCGAGTTCAAAACTCTCAACTGGTAATTTTATAATAATTGAAATGATCTATGCATTAATTGATTAATGCAAGCAAGGAGACAATTTGAAGATATCTTTATTCATATGTCTTTTATTTGTTATTTTAGTTAATGTTCGTTTGGTTTTCTTTTATGTTCTTGTATGATACTAGTAACCATTGTCAATGTAAAAATAGACGTATATCAAAAGAACACACTTAATCTGCTTAAATAATGAGTTTTGTTGTAAAGGAATGATCTTGTGTGCTGTAAAGATAGATTTCTAAACTTACTATTTAAAGCTCGAAAGCTTTGATATATTTAACCTACTTTTTTCTCTATTGATACATGATGCAAAGACTTTAACATAATGTAAAGGTTTTATTACACATAGGATAACAGTAAGTGGCGTTCACTCAAAGTCCAGGTCTTGTTAAGACAACTCTTTGATTTTATTTAAAAGCAGAGAACAAGTTATACCTAACACATTTTTTAAACAAATATCTATTTTCATTTACAAATATTCAAAATTGATAATTATAGTTGATAATATTATATAACAAAGCAAAGTTCATGTCATTTTCAAGTTTTTTATTATCAAAAACATACGTTTCAATTAAAAATCCTTCTAACAGGACCACCGATGGAGAAGTTTTCGAAAATGTATATATTTAGATATATATACATTGTTTTTCACCTTGATTCTTATTTAAAGTAATATCTGATAAAATATATTAGTGCTATATTGATATATCATAATGGTGAATGTTTTGACATTACATGATCATCTAATGCATATAAATATATGATGTCATTTTTATGATGGGATATTTCGTTTGAGTGAACTATGGAATACATTTTCACTCAAAATGATAAAATGACATAATATATTTTCACGACCCGGGACGGCGAGTGAAAATATGTGGCATTTTATCATGTTGAGAGAAAATATATACCATATTCACGAAAAACGATAAAATAAACTTTTCATTTAATTTTATTATCAAAGAAAAATGGCTACGAACCATATTGCTTGCAACGCAACTGCAACTGTACAGCGCAGTAATATATTATTACGTCTTGTTTTGCACGCGATATTTGACGTCACATTAACAACTATTTACACTTCTGTACAGCGTTAATAACTGAATAAGATATATTGGGGTTCGGATTTATTTTCTTAGTTAGACCATTTTGCTACCATTCTACTGTAGATGGTTTTCAAAACAAAATTCAACAAAAGTTTTTTTGAATTTTCAGATTTTTTCAAATAAAATGGCGAAAGAAGTCCTTTAAAATAAATATGACCCCGCCCACTTTCATATTTATTTTTTTGAAAATATGAACTATATTTGACTGATACTGTATAGTGTCTTATATTTAATTTACATCTTGTACAAGACGATGAGAATAAAACATTTAAAAAGCAATTACGAAATTATATTAATTGAATGTTATAGTTACGTTAATTCCATATCATATCAGAAAGCCCGAAAACGTCGAAAAACAAACATGATTTTGTGATGCCCAATTGTAAAATGACGTCATCTATTGACTATAAAGTGACGTCACATATTGACTATACAAAGTGACGCCATCTATTTATTTAACATCTGTACTGTAGTGACGTGACGCATTGACTTTACTTAGGGTCAATGACGTCATGTATTTTACATTAAACTTATCTTATCATTAATTAGCTACTAAAAATATTATATAAAATATAATAATTGTTATAAAGTTAATAAAATAAAGTGTGTACATGTCGAGTATTAATGATATGTATATTTTTACAACCATGACGTTTATTTACATGTGTACATATGAAACAAATAATTATGAGCCATTGAAAATGGTACATTCACGTCTTAGTAATGTTAAATATTCTTCGGTTACACGTCCTCGTCTGTGATATATTGCATATTTGGTAAAAACAATTTAACCTTAAGTATTCTCAAATGCCTGCTTAATGAGATTAAGCAACAAAAAAGGCAATGTTAAAACATACTAACATGTTTTTCCCTTTTAAGACTGTTTAAAACATTTTAAGGTGTTCAAGTTTTCCTGCTTGTTTTACGTAGAATTATTTATAGTTAAGTGGTCAAATACTTTTACTGCCAAAGTTCTTTTTCTCCGCTCGCTTTTTTTAACACATTGTTGAAAATACACATGCACAAAAAGGCTCTCATATAGACTACTGAGCAAAAATATTAAGAGTCCAGGAGAAAATATTTCAGACACATTTAGACTATACACACATTTATAAGGGTATGTCTTTGTGCGGTTTTGCTTTTCCTCAGCTTAAATATGATACTCCTATCTTTATAGATTAAAATCAACACAACATATTACTTAATTCACAATCAAACATTATATGTTGTTCAGTTTACAAAAACGAGAAATTTCTTCTCGCACGGATTTCACTAGCACAATTAACTGCTTCTAAGCTTTCTTTATGGCATCAATTTAAATATATGATGTTCCATCATTTCAATCATTATGCGCACATTTGTCCCTGTATCATATTAACACAATTTTGATATAACATTGTCTCGATATAAACCTGATCATTACGGATCATTATGGCGCAGATGACGTAGCACTAGTTGAAAAATCCGTCTCGTATTCGGGAAACTGCGTTTCTCTTTGCGTTGAAGTCTGACTTTCACTTGTTACATTACTTGATAGTGGTGTAACTGTAACTGAATGACCTTCCCGAGTTGTTGTTGCTGAAGCAGTTACAGTATCATTTGTATCTGTCTTCACGCCGCTTGTCGCAACTTTTACAACATTAGTAACATTTGGAGCACTCAAGTCAGTAACGTTTGCTACAGGTGCATCGACAGTTATATCTGGAGCATTGGTAGTTACACTCGGACTTTCAGTTGTGATGTAGTAATAGTCAGTGTCGTTGTACACATCGTAATAATCTGACGTATTGTAGCCAGACACTGTGGTTGATTCAACTACAACTTGAGACTGTGTTGTCATCTTGGAAGCGCTTGTTGTATTAAGCACAGTCGATTTTCCTGAGTGGACTACTGAGGTGACGTTATCTTTTGAAAATAAAGTTTGATTTTCAGACTGGACGTCTTTCATTGTTACATTACCTTCATGTGCTACTGTAGTTGTGACAAATTCTGTTACTGTATCTGTCTGTAAAGATTTTGTCACTAGTGGTTGCAGTTTGGCTTCTTCTGTTGTTGCTTCAGACTCAGCTGTGTCATTCAATATTGAAACAGTGTGTGTAACATTTTGTTGCATAGGGATAGATGATACCGATTTTGGTAGGACTGTAACATTGTCAATGGCGACAGAAGCAGTTTCCATCACAGACTCTGTAATGACGGACGAGCTTGTAGTTACATCTGTTTCGCTTGGTTTGTTTTCATTTATCGATTTCGTATCATTTAAGAGTTCGGTAACATTTTTAACAACATCACTTGTTGTAAAAGTTGCAGTTTCTGTCACATTTCCAGTCTGTAAAGATGAAAGTGTTGTTTCTATAGGAATGGTGATCGTTGTTTTACCTTGTTTCGTATTATTTGATGTCGAAATAACTGATGTTTCTTCAGTTATATTTATAGCAGTCGGAACATATGATGTATTGAATGCAGCCTCATTATATTCGTCAAGAAATGCTTCCTCAGCTGGTTTTGGTGTTGTTGTAGTTGTTGTTGTTGTTGTTGCCGCCGTTGTTGTGTTAAATATTTTCGTTGCATTTCTTGTCTCTGTCGTATCTTGCATATCAACTGTTGTCATGTTGTCAGCATAGATCGTATCTGTAACATTGACCGGTGTTTCTGTTGTGAATGTTTCAACTAATTATATATCAGCAGGTGAAGTCTCTTGCACAGAATCACTGATGGTTGTTGATTCCATATATGTAACATTGGCTATAGAGTCATTATATACTTGTTTTGTCGTTAATAAACTTGTATCTGTGATGTTTATTAACTGAGAAGGAGAATCTGTTTGTGTTTCTGTGGTAGTCTGTGCAGTTTCAGTAATATCTGGAACAGTTTTCTGTCGATGTAAGGCTTCTGTACAAGCTTCAGTTGTAGATGGCGATGTTTTTTCATTAAACGATGGTACAGATGAAAACGATTCAGTTTCATTAATTACAGAAAATGTTGGAATATAGTTGTAAGGCAAATTACATCAAACTGTAGGCAAGATCCATTTCCCCCGGGTGGTCTCTTTTAAAAACAGGTGTTGATACTTTACTGGAAGGTTTTGATGTTCTCCTCTAATAAGGCAAGGCTTTCGGGGTATGAATACTTTGTGTTGTTACATCTGCTGGTGCTGTATCGTTGATAATCGATGATGTAACTGCCTTAACTTGTTCTGTTGCAGGAATCTCAGTTGCAGTTTTAACTGTAACGGGTATTTCCGTTGATTTTTCAACCGACTTTGCGTCTTTGGTCGTTTTTGTTTGACTATGTAGTGTGGAAGTATCGGTGGATTGTGTTGTTACATTTATTTCATCGGTTGATTTAGGTGAAGTTACAATAGAAAATGTTATTGTCACTTCATCTGGAGTACGTGCAGTTACGTTAGGGAGAAGACTTGTCACTGATTGTTGTTGAGTAGTAATCTCTACTTCGGAAACAACAGATGTATCATTCTTGGCTATTTGTGTTGTTGGTGGGCTGGTTACTTTTATTCCCTCTGTACTTGTAAACATTTGTGTTTTTTCTTGTGTAATATCAGATTTTGATGTGGTAGTACCAACAGTTTCTGCCGAAGAGGTCTTTGAAATCGGAGTAGTTACTTCGCGTGCAGTTTGTTCTGTTACACCTTGTGTACTTGATTCTTGCACAACAGATACTTTTGTTGCTTGTGTGGATACAAAACCCCACAGGGGGATTCAGTTGAAAAGGGTTTTACTGGCACTTTTGCTTGGGGAAGGGAGTTGTTTCGGTTTTAAACGGGGAATACACCCTCAGGGAAATATTGTAAAAACCCAAAGGTTTTCTGTTTGTGGGTAAGGGGAAAAAATTTCACTAAGCCGGGGTTTAAAATCTTTGTTTAATCCCCACCCCATCCCCAAAAACTCAGTTGGGATCAGTCGTCAACTCTGGGCCTTTAAAAAGAACGTTTCATTCACTTTTTTTTAAAAATTGGGAGTGTCCCCTAATTGGGTTTTTGTATTTGTAAAACCCGGGGAGGGTAAAAAGTAAATAAAAGTGAGCATGTATTTTCCGGTGAAAATTTGCAAAATTATTTTTGTCGGGGTGTTTTGAGGGGCCCGGTCCCCGGGAAATTTTTTTTATATCTCTTTCCGGGTTTTGGGAATTTTTTAAAATAACCCTTTAAAGTTGTATTTTTCTAAAGTGGTTTTGGTGCTAGTTGTGGGAGATGATTCACTCTCCCGTTGCACTTTTCCCCTTGGGTTTTTAAGTATAAACAAATATTGAAAAAATACATTTAAGAAAATTTGGGGCAGGCTCTGTAAATTCCCCGTTTTGCCTATTTTTTTTCATTAACAAAAAAATTTTTTTAAAAGCTTCTGAAAGATTGTTGCGTGGTGAAAAAATCCTGTTTTCTAAATGGTGTTTACTGTTGGAAAATGACACCAATTTAGCGGGGGTCGTTGTAAAAAAGGGTTTGGGTTTTTTTTGTTTTCGTAACCCAAATTTTGAAACCCTTAAATTGGGGTTTTCCTTTCCCTTTTTTTGGGGGAAAGGGCGGGGCACGGGGTGGAGGGGGTGGGGTTGGGATTTCGAAAATTCAGTTGCAATGTCTGTTTTGATCTGAATAGTGCTTTCTTGCATTTTGACAGTGGTTGAAGTCGAAACGTTGTGATCCACTGTTGGAGACGATTCTGTTGACATGATGTCTACACCTTTTACTGTTATGTTAGCAGGTCCTGTTGTACGACTACTGATGCTGTCTTCATGAACAACAGTTGTCGTTTCAATAACTTCTTCGTCTGCTTTTGACCCAGTTATAGTTTCCTTTGGCTTGTCTGTTGTTATATCGGAAGTTACTTGTATAATTTCGTCTGTCACTTTCTGCGCCGATTGAAGTGTTGTAACTTCAATACTTGTAGTTTTATCAGTCTGTGTTGTAAATGAAATTCCTTTTTCAATTGTTGTCTCAACAGGCAATATTTCAGAAACAGTCGATGATTCCTTGCTTACGGATTCAGTCGACGGAGATGTAGTCGATGTTTGATTTGCATCTTCCTTTGGTGTTGTTGTTACAGCCTTTAGTATTGTCTGTGTATAAGTAACCTCTGACGCATTAGTTGGTAGTTCAGTGACTTCTGTTGTTCCTGATTCTGTTGTTTCATATGTTTCATTAAGGTAATAAATTATGTCAAATATATTTGTTGTCACTTTTGGTGTTTCTGTTGTTACTGTTATGTTATCGACAGCCTTGGTTTCATCTTTTACTTCTGCAGTAGGTTTTAAAGTTGTTTATAATTTTCATCCGACGTTGTTCTGGAAGTGGTTTTCTATAGTACCTGGTGTTTGTTTCTGTGTATGTACATCTATAATTTTCTCACTTGTTCGGATATCTTCTTGGGTGGTTATTTCGAGTAGCCCTTCCTTTTCAGTAATGATGCTCGGTTTAACAATTCTTGTTGTCTGTATGGTTTCTATTGGAGGTTTCGTTTCTTCAACTTGTGTTGTTGTTATCAATTGCATCGTAGTGGTTCTGTCTTTGCTCATTTCTAGTGTTGTTTCTGTTGTTGTTGTTTCTGTTGTTCTTTCTGTTGTTGTTTCTGGTGTTTCTTTGATAACTGTTATTTTTTGCTCAATAATTTGTTATCACCAGTTGCATATTTCATTCCTTTATTTAAAGATCCTGCAACTCAATTTTTATGGTTTTATATCATAAATAAAATGCTCAAATGACAATTTATCAATATTGTTAGTTCCAAAAACATTGAAAAAGCATTATTTGTAAAGATATTACCGAATTTACATTTCATGTTAATAAAGGGGGATAATTAGAAATTTATTTTCTATGAAGTCTAAGTTAAATGTTTTAATAAGAAATGAATGTATATATATTTTAATGATTACATATAATGTGGACAAATATTTGCAGTACATAGTTTACATATTCTTCGATGTTTGAAAATTGTTTTAGAATCATAATTGTATACATATAATTATATAATTGCACTTTTAAAAGTGTGGTAACAACCTTAATTACATCATACAGGATCTTTAATTAAAACTGAAACCGAAATGCTATTATTTTATTCCAGTTACTTGTAAGTTGATATCTTAGTTGTATGTATATTACCATCATGTATTAACATTTACATCATCCTTAAACCAGGTAAACATTAAACTGTTAAAATGATAAAATTCAATAATAAACGTGATTAGATAACACCCTTTGAAATACTTTATAAACTTGTTTTAGTTTAACAATAGTCCAGGCAACTTCACCTCTGATCATTAAATGAAAGACGGATCTTAACATGTTAATTTTAAATTGGATTTTAATACTTTGATTGCTTTATGGTAGGTGATAAGATTCAGTGTATAAAGGGCACCCGCTTAATTCATGTAGAGAGTATGATTAAATTAGGGGGCGGTATCTCGGTTGTTTGTGTCATACTAAATATTGGATTATCATCGACAAACAGTAAGTTATTTAATTTTTTCAATCATACTAATTTCCTTGTATTTTTGTTCATTTTATTTAAAATTTTAATATTACATTTTCATAATTCTATTATTTAAAGTTGTTTAAACTTTATCGAGATCTCGTGACGTGTTTTTCTGAACTTGAAGATGATTTTTGACATGTACGGTGTTTGAAACTAGAGATATCTTCAGCTGATACCAGAGTACCTATCTATAACCGGACGATAACTGAACTGTATGTCGTTTGCTTTAATGATACAGTAGTGACTAAATATCACAATTAGATATCAAATATGATTGTTTTGTTGTTGATGCTTTTGTTATTGTTTATTCTTAGACTACTTCAAAGTTGTTGTTTTTTGTTGTTCAGAGTCTTTTATTTGAAAAAAAAATACATGTATTATCAAAATTGTTTATTTTTACGAACTGAAAGAAACACGTCATTACCAGTAATCTTGCCTTTTTACTTTAAGGAACGGACATTTCCATATATGACAATTTGTTCGTAATGGTATCGATATTTATCTTGGAAACGTGATGTTGCAAGAGAGAATCCACCCCGTTCCGATGTTCATATAAGAAAAGAATAGGCCTTATTTTGACTTTAGTACACACGTGTTTAATATGACTAACTTGTAATCATTTATTTATCTGAACCTATATAGCCTGATAAATACAGTAACGTTGTTTAATAGTTTATCCACGACCATAATGTACGATACGTATAAACTATAATACATTTATAATACATCTAAATGTTTCACAGATGTGGAACCACATACTACTGAAAAAGATTCGCCCAGGAAACAAAGTACCAATAATCTGACGTCACACATTACGCACAAGTTAAACAGTACTACATCAACAAGATCATTTATATCCACATCTTCAAAATTGCCACAAAGTTCAGCATCATATTTAGTATCAACACTAACTTCCACCTCAGTATCAACATCTTATTCAACCTCAATACCGACATCTTTTTCAACGACGCCAGTGTCTTCAAAATCAAATTCATCGCCGATTTCTACTTCTCCAAAACTTTCAAACGCACCAATGTCTTCACAAACATCTTTATCTACTTCAACAATGCGTTCACCAACATCAAATGATTTTACATCAAGCACAATGCCTTACATCTCATATTCGGATGAATCTTCAACAATGTCGTCTGCTAATAAGACGTCGACTCAAAATCCAGGTTTAGGAGGTAAATCTAGTCAAAAACCTTGATTTGTTGATATGACAACTTTTGTCAATCTAAATACAAAACCTTCAATTTAGTTTAAAAATTTTGCTGCGCGTGAAAATTTATGTTATCAAACACTATTTATTTTTTTGTTTTTAATCATCTTAAAATAATATTTGTATCTTTTTGTGTCGCCTTGAAAAGGTGACATATAGGGGTTACTTTTGTCGGCGGTGTCGGCGGCGGCGTCTGTGTCGTTGTTGGTGTCGTTGTCGGCGTCGTTGTCGGCGTCCCCTAAAGCTTGTCCGGAGCATAACTCAGTCACTATAAGTCTGAATGACTTCAAACTTGGTATGCATGCTTCTTTTAATAACCAGAAGTGCAGTGCACAAGGACCTGTACTCTGCATTTCTTATTTTTTGAGTTATTGCCCTTTGTTAATTTTCATACTTTAATTTTTGTCCGAGCCATTTCTCTTCAACTAAAAAAGCTATGGACTTGAAACTTCATAGGATGATAGATCTCATTATTAAGAAGTGCAGTGCACAAGAACCAGTACTCTGCACTTCCTAATTTTTGAGTTATTGCCCTTTGTTAATTTTCATACTTTATTTTTTGTCCGGGCCATTTCTCCTAATGTATAAAAGCCATGGACTTGAAAACTTCATAGGATGATAGGTCTCATTAAGAAGAAGTGCAGTGCACAAGAACCGGTACTCTGCATTTCTTATTTTTTTGAGTTATTGCCCTTTGTTTATTTTCATACTTTAATTTTGTCCGGGCCATTTCTCCTTAAGTATAAAAGCTATGGACTTGAAACTTCATAGGATGATAGATCTCATTATTAAGAAGTGCAGTGCACAAGAATCGGTACTCTGCATTTCTTAATTTTTGAGTTATGGCCCTTTTTTAATTTTCATACTTAATTTTTTCCAGGCCATTTCTCCGAAAGTATAAAAGTTATGGACTTGAAACTTCATAGGATGATAGATCTCATTAAAAAGAAGTGCAGTGCATAAGAACTGATACTCTGCATTTCTTATTTTTGAGTTATTGCCCTTTGTTGATTTTCTTACTTTATTTTTGTCCTGGTTATTTCTCCTCAAGTATGAAAGCTATGGACTTGAAACATCATAGAATGATAGATCTTATTGATAAGAAGTGCAGTGTACAGAAACTGCTGCTCTGCACTTATTATTTTTTTAGTTATTGCCCTTTGTTATTTTTCATATTTCATTTTTGTCCTGGCCATTTCCCCTAAACTACATTGTTCACAAGGCGACACATCCGACTCGCGGAGTTCTAGTTTCTTGATAACAATAACCGTGTCAATGAATAATTTACGAGTTTATATTTCTCATAAGTCAACATAATAAATATACATGTACTCGTAAAACTCAATTGTACATTTACATTTTCATTTTCTAGGTTTTCACATCAACACCGATCTTGTCGTGGAAATCGTTTTCATTGTCCTTTGCCTCGTCATTGCCGGAAGTTTTATGACATTTCTTCTTAAAAAGAAAGGGTATTCTGAAATATTATGTGATCTACAAATTTTACCGATTTTCTCTAATATTTTATTTAATTTTCTGGAGAGTATTTATATCGATTAATCTGCTACAGTTAATATCCGATAGCGTGTTTGAAAACTGATTATCGTAATTTTAAAAAAATGCAGTTTCGTTTAGTTTTTATGTACAGTGTTGCTTTTGATGTTTGTTTTTAAAACTTGTACGTTCAAACGTATTGATATGCGTGTGTGTCAAATGTACTCGTATGTAAATAATTTTCTTAATTAGTTTTGAAAATATTGTTTTGTAACTTTATCAATCATATATCCTTTAATGAGATAACACTTTCGAAAAAAAAAACCGTTTGCATTTTATTTTCTTTTATGATCGACCAGATATATATCCTGCCAACGATGTAGAAGTTGTCTTCATGAACGGCGCAGGCGTAGATCTTCAACATCGAGTCGAGGGCCTCTTACACAAGATGATGCAACCTTCGTCAATATCTCGGATCCCCCGAGACAAGAGCGGGAACTTTTCTCAATCGGAGACCAAGATGGCGGACAAGATGGCCGACAAAGATCTTTGCAGCGGCGTGGCACGGAGGATGATTACTTTTATGATGAAATTTTTGGACAGTCAGCGTTTGTTGATGAAACAACGAATAGAGCTAACACTTATTTATCAGTTGCTGATGATGACGATGATGATATACTGAGCGGTTTGAACGTCCCAGATCTTGTTTTTAAAACACCAAAGAAAATGTGAAAATTGAAAATGAATTCTGAAATTGATGTTATGTGTTGAAGTAACAAGATACAGTTTGCTAAGATAAAATTATAAGAAATCATGAAATTTACATGTTAGTATTAATGTTTATACCCTCCTCTAACACGGATACCATCAAACATAAAGATAATAATTTAGAACATTGTGATGCACATTGGGCACATGTTGACCCATTTGTTCAAAGAATTTAGTAGGAAATGGGAGAATGCATACAGTGCCTGTTTGTTTTGTTTGTGTGTTTGTTTGTTTTGGTGGCGACTTTCTGCAAATATGGCATAGAGAATTACCGCATTGGCTATAAGTACTATCAATATTTGCAAATGTGATTTGCATATCATTTCATTTCCTTACATTTTTATATAATCTTTATATATTTTAAATTTCAATATACATTATTTTGCATATTAATATTTTTTACAAAATTTTACATTGCTGTTCATTACTGTAAATTTTTATTTCATTACATTAGATAAGATTACATTGCATCAAATCACATCCATTATATCAAATAACATTCCATTACATGATTTTTGCTTTTTCAAGCCATATACAAAAAAAGCTTTAAGGAAGACTGATAGATGTTATGTAACTTTGAATTTGAAACAATAAGTACTGTATATATTGATTTGTATAATTTGATAATAGAAACATAAAATATGTACATAAATTATTTATTCTAAATATATGTATATCTCGACACATGCCTTATCAAAAATATTCATTTATTAATGTGTCTTTTTAGATATGCATTATGCCCTTTACATTTTCAAAATTATATTAAATACAGGCGTGTATTATAACGTGCAATGACACTACAGTTCAACATTAAAATTGAAGAGAGTTTAAATAATTAAAATAATTGGTTCATATAACAAAAGATTTTACAGTAAATTGTTTCTTTATTATGCCCCCCCCCCCCCATTCGAAGAAAAGGTGGTATATTGTTTTGCTAATGACGGTCGGTCTGTCCGTCGGTAGACCACGTGGTTTCCGCTAATTATCTTAAAAACTGTTCATCACAAAGTTATCATATTTCACATACTGATGGGTCATAACTAGTAAATTACACTATGATTTGGGGTCACTAGGTCAAAAGTCAAGGCCACAGGGGCCTTAAATGTCAGAATTATTTCGCCTACTATCTTTAATACCATTAATCACAAAGTCTTCATATTTCACGTAATGATTAGTCATATCAAGAAGATGACCCCTATTAATTTTGGGGTCACTAGATCAAACGTCAAGGTCACAAGGGCCTTAAATGTCAGAATGGTTTCCACTCATTATCTTAAAAACTTTTTATCACGAAGCCTTCATATTTCACATACCGACTGGTCATTTGTAGTAGATGACCCCTATTGATTTGTTGGTTACTAGTTGAAACGTCAAGGTCACAGGATCCTTAAATGTCAGAATGGTTTCCACTCATTATCTTTAAAACAAGTTATCACAAAGTCTTCATACTTCGCATACTGATTGTTTATAATTCGAAAATGACCCCTATTGATTTTGGGGTGACTATATCAAAAGTCACAGAGGTCTTAAATGTCAAGATGGTTTTCGCTCATTATCTTAGAGTCCATTTATCATAAAGTCTTCATCTTTCCAGGCATGCTGATGGTCAATAATAAGTAGATGAACTTGGTTTGATTTTGGGGGTCATATAGCTAAAAAGGTAGGTCACAGGGGGTCCGTTAAAATGTAGAATGGTTTTCCCGACTCAATCATCTTGAAATATTTTTATTCGCACAGAACTTCTTCATATTAACATATATATTGTCAATATATCAGATGACCCAAGTTGCTCTTGGAAGTTGAAAGGTGTTCAAGGGGGGTTTAAATGTCGGATTGGTTTCTGCTCATTATCTTGAAAACTATATATCAATATATTTCACAAATTGATTGGTTTTAACCAGTAGATGACCCTCTTGATTTTGGGGTCTTCAGGTACCTTAGATCAGTCAGTCGGTCTTTCCGTAGGTAGACCATGTGGTTTCCACTGATTATCTTAAAAACTATTTGTCGCAAAGTCTTCATATTTCACATACTGATTGGTAATAACTAGTAGATGACCCCTTTTTGATTTATGGGTCACTAGGTCTAAGGTTAAGGTCATACGGGCGTTAAATGTCAGAATGTTTTCCGCTCATTATCTTGAAAACTATCACAATTTCTTCACATTTCACATATCGATTAGTTATATGTTGGTAGACGATGTGGTTTCCGCTGATCATCTTAAAAACTATTTATCACAAAGTTTTCATATTTCACATTCTTATTGGTCATAACTTGTGGATGATCCCTATTGATTTTGGGGTTAGTAGTTCAAAGGTAAAGGTAACTTGGCGTTTAAATGTCAGCATGGTTCCTGCTAAATATACTTCTGATAGCTTTCAATCAGTTTTAGTTCATATCTTTGTCATCATTTAATACTAGTAAAATTTAAATCCCTCTGGATTACGAGGGTTCATTTAGACAATTTAGACTTTTTCCTGTTTTCTTAGTATACATGCTGTTAAATTGTTTAAAATCTTGCTTACCGATGCCTTTTTATTGTCTTTATGTTTACTAGTACGAAAAAAAAATGAGTTGCATTGCATTTCAATAACACCGTAGCGGGGGAAAATCTCACATTGCCATTTGCATTACCAGTTTGCCTTGTCCAAAATTGTTATTTATCACTTCTGGTGAAAATAAAACCTGGATCCATATACTGATTGGCAGCCAATTTAAACACAAAATCAAAGTTTCCCCTATATAGGTCTATTTACCTATTGTGGGAGGCCAATTTTGACAAAAAAAAGGAATAAGAAAAAATTAAGGAAAAAGACCCCTTAAAAGCTAAATTTAAAAAGTAGTTAAGTTTTAAAGGGAAAAAAAAATTTTACCAATTAAACTTTCCAAATTCAAATTTTTTGTTTCCAAGGGGGAACCAAATTTTTAAAACCCGGGGCATAAAATTTTTTAAAAAAGAGACCGCCAAACCCAAATATCCCTTTGTCCCAAAAGGGGATAAGGGAAAAGATTTCTAAAACATAAAAAGCGAGGGTTTTAAAACCAACTGTCAAATTTCACCCCAATTAAAAACCTTTCCTAGACGAAAAGTCGGGTTTTGATTTGCCAGTTTTTGAAAATTTAAAGGAGAAAAATTGCATTTCTCCTTTCTATTAAATGTTGGGTTTTAAAACTTTTGACAAAGGAAGGGGGTTTGCTTCGTCATGTGTAATGTATCCGACACCAAAAATGACTTAAATTTATATACAAAACAGTGATTTCTCGTTTTATGGTTTTTACAATGCCTTGGACATTTAATTAATTATGTTTCGATAAACGATTTTATAATTTTTTAATAAAGCAAAAATGACTAACGATAAAACACCAAATTCGACCATAAATGTACATGTAGTAGTATAATAAGACAAAAAAAGGCATCAGGAACGTTACCAAATCTAACCAAGCTAAAACAGCAACCCGTGTGACCTCGTTTTACTATATGAAAAGTCGGCTATTTAAGGTTTCGAAGCCAGAACTATGTCCGCACAGAACCATCTCAAAAGAAAAATACAAAATTTTTAAAGATAAAATTTCTACAGAACGAACTTGTTCCCTTGTTTTTTAAAGTCAACAAAAATGAAAATGAATATATTGAAAATGTTCAGATGTTTAATTGACGACAGTGGGGCAATGTAACAACTCTTACACTGATGCGTTTTGTTTAAAAATGTTCGGGTTTTGGTTTTTTTTTTTTTTTGTATGATTAGTAACCAATTTTCCCAATTTTAAAAATAGACCCTATAAACAAAAAAACACACTTA